AGGACAACGCCAACTTACAATAGTGTTTATAAATGCAGCTTCTGAAGACAACTAAGAATGGTGTTTATAAATGCAGCTTCTCAAGACAACTAAGAATGGTGTTTATAAATGCAGCTTCTGAAAACAACTAAGTATGGTGTTTATAAATGCAGCTTCTGAAGACAACTAGGAATGGTGTTTATAAATGCAGCTTCTGAAGACAACTTAGAATGGTGTTTGTAGATGCAGCTTCTGAAGACAACTAAGAATGGTGTTTATAAATGCAGCTTCTGAAAACAACTAAGTATGGTGTTTATAAATGCAGCTTCTCAAGACAACTTAGAATGGTGTTTATATATGCAGCTTCTCAAGACAACTAAGAATGATGTTTATCAATGCAGCTTCTGAAGACAACTAAGAAAGGTGTTTATAAATGCAGCTTCTCAAGACAACTAAGAATGGTGTTTATGAATGCAGCTTCTGAAAACAACTAAGTATGGTGTTTGCAGATGCAGCTTCTCAAGACAACTAAGAATGGTGTTTGTTATGCGAAAAAAAAAGCATTTTCTTCTTTGTCTGAATCCTGCTCGATACAGTAAGATTTAATAAAATGTTTCTGAATGTGTACTAAATAAATTCAGAGCTTGTGAGTGCATTTTGTTTTGAGATTACGTTCGTTATGTTTGGATTTGATTCTAAAGATTGTTGAATATATTCTTTTAAATCAAATCTCACTGAAATTATACTGAAAATTTGCATTACAATAAAGCTTGTAGACAATGTAATCGTCAAAGCAGAATATAAAAGAAATAACGTTTTGAAAAGGATTTGGCAGACGTTTTTGTGTAGGTAGAATATCACTAGACTTTAGTTATTAACCTAATTGATGTCGTAGGTGACGGTTTCTTGGACATTTAGAAATTGATTAAATAGCTCAGTGGGACCTCAACAACTGGCATAGAAACACCTGATTTTCTAGTTGTAAGAAGTGCAGGCGCTCTCAGCAAATTTTTAGTTGGATTAAATCCTCACGACATAAAAGATATGTTTAGTTAAAAGTTGCAGAGATAAATCTTTTCAAAAAAGCTTACCACATTTATGTACTGATGTTAATGTTTCCACCTGACGTAAAAGAATAAAAAAAATATGCAAAATAATTATCAGTTGGCCTTTACTATATGTTCTTTCCTACTACCAAGAACCCCACTTGAAAAGAAAATATTTGTTATTTGACAGAATTTATTCGTAGTACGAATGATGTATGTCAAAACAAACACTACGATGTACATGCAATGAAAAATCTTGTTAAAATTGTGTGAGAATCGATCGAAATACATAACTCAAGACAACTTAATGTTTTATAACTTCAAACATTATACTTATATTCTGCAGAAAATTGAACTGAATCTCCAAACTAAATAATACAACTAAATTATAAGGTCAGATCAGGTTAATTATACTTGACCTCTATGCTGAATAGTTTATGTCGTGCTGGTGATTTGGTTCTCTACCAGTATATATATATGTGCCCCCTAGTGGCACAGCGGTATGTCTGCGGACTTCCAATACTAGAATCCGGGTTTCGATACCCATGATGGGCAGAGCACAGATAGCCCATTGTGTAGCTTTGTGCTTAATAACAAACCAACCAAACAAATATATATATATATATATATAAAGGACATACTACAATATATCCTGAAAATATATCAGATACTACTGACCATGGTGTCCTGACAGAATACAAAATTCCTGTTGCAATCTGCTCGTGCTTAGCAAAACTGGAAC